AAATTTTCCACCCCCCCCCCCCAATATTCGGCATAATAAAAGATAATTAAATAGTCCACTCCAACGTGCAGCGTGTTGATGATACAAAATAAACGTAGGAGTAGACTCAAATAGAAAAAGACAGTACAATACTCTGAAACTAATCGCTCCTCGCTTGCATTCACTGGTTTATTGTTGCAATTGTAAAGTTTTGAAACTCTATTATCTCCCCTGAATAGAGTTTGCAGTGCCTTGTCATGCAAATAGCTTGCTTGCAAGGAACGTTTGGAATTTTTACGAACTTTATTTTTAGTTTTTAATTCTTTTAGGAAGTGGACTTGCCTAGATTTAATCTTTACGCCCCAAAGATTATTTACATCTGAGTTGCATCATAGATTGTACTCGGATTCAAACGACACAATGTCAATGACTTTATAAAAGTAAAAGCATATTGTGTATAATGGCCTATTGGGTTTACACTTTTACAGGTTCATTTAACTTTAACTCTTTCAAGTCTCAACAGACAATCGGACATGCCAAATCCAATGATATGACAACTTCAAAAAACATTTTTTCGAAGCTAGAAATCATGATTTTTTTCAAATTTTTCCAGGGATACTTTGTTTTCTGCTCTCTAGACTCCCCCTCGCGGCTCTAGTGCTCCACCCCTAGAATATAGACCTTACTGGGGTTTAATTGGTGACACTTTGTGTTGCTTCAGTCACATGCTCACGGCTCACCCCCCTAAAATTTCTGGCACCACCCCCAGTTAAAAGTATGAAAATCCGTCTATGATCGAATAGGGTTAGGGGTATCGTTAGGGTTAGGGTACTAAGTCATTGAACTACAAAGACTGTTAAACAGTGATTCAGACATTTGACTCGGACTCGGATTTGACCTCCTTTACTGTTGGGATTTACAGGGGGTAGGTGGACACCACCTGCCCACAGCATGCAAATACCAAAAAGCAGGAAGTACAATGGGAAACAACATATTGTCGGACTGAATATAGCACGTATGTATTTAAAACAATTATATTTATGATGTCTATATATCATATTTCAAATTAGCCTTTGATATGACGTTCATATTTTGAATTAATGTCTAAGTCAAAGCATCTCAGTATTTTTGAAGAACGGCATGTGTTCTAAATGCTGGCAAATTTTTTTGGAGAATAAAGCAATTTGAGGGGGAGAATTTTCGATTTGAAGTGCTTGTGCCAACGGATCGACGATCGGAAGCCATTTGCCTTTATCATGTATTATGTATCATGTATTATATACTTAGTCTAGTAGAGGCCGCAACCATCAAGTTCAAAGTTTCGGAAAATATTAATTCAACAAAAGAGGAATAACAGGAGAACACACACTATCAAATAGGCAAGTAAATTTCATTTTAATTAAAATACATATTTTATGACATAATTTTACTGTAATATACATTTACTATACTGACCTTTGCAAGATTGGGCTGCCTATGGTGTGCCTTGTTTTGGTCAAATTTGTCAAGTAATTACTAACTACATTTAGTACTTGTTCTGGTTTGTGGAAAACACCATCAGATGTAATAATATTTATTTATTTATTTAGTAATATGTAACTGCAAAGGTTTTTTGCTTATTTATATAATTATCAATGATTAATTAAGATCCTGGATTTAGGACCCAAAGCTTTGCACTAATACATATACTGTACTGTATGTGGTGCTTCAGTTTCTCTCAATTGAAGTTTTGAAGATTTGAATCCTTTTATACTGTATATATATATATATATATATATATATATATATATATATATATATATATATATATATATATATATATATATATATATATATATATATATATATATATATATATATATATATATAGTTTTTCGTTTTACCTCAAAAACCACAACAGTCTGTTTCATCCGTATGCTAGGAATCATCAGCACCACCTGATGATTCCTATCATCAGCACCACCTGATGATTCCTATACGGATGAAACAGACTGTTGTGGTTTTTGAGGTAAAACGAAAAACTATATTACGCTCTATCTATATGGTATTGAGCACTGTTTGTGTTTCGTAAACCAAAATCTTAAGCTATATATATATATATATATATATATATATATATATATACACACATATATATATATATATATATATATATATATATATATATATATATATATATATATATATATATATATATATATATATATATATATATATATATGAAAATGGGGGCCCTTAGGATGACCCCTCTTGAGTAATAGACTGTACCCAGCGAGCTCTATATATATCTGGAGCAAGAACATCAGTCATTAATTCGGCCTATGAGAAAAGTGAAGGCAAGATGGTGGCCATTAAAGTCCAATAGCTATGAAGCTTGTACTAAACAGTTTTTATACCATTTTCCCAATTAAATCAAGTTTTCAGTTTATAAAATTCTAATATTAGTCTTTAAATTGGTTGCATTTAGTCATGTTGGTTGCAAGCTCTTCAAAATGGTTGAATATCACTGCTATCATCCAAGATGATAATTTCAAACTTCACTCACTGGCAAATGTGATGAAACACTGTAGAAAAA